ATTGTGGTGCTACTGCTCCTGCTAATGCTGCTTCTGCTGCTTCATACTGCTACCGCTATTGCTGCTACTGCTGCCGCTAATGCTGCTATTGCTGCCGCTGCTGCTTCATACTGCTACTGCTGCCGTGCTGCTGCTGCTTCTTTACTTTGACACCTCTCTTCACTTCGCATCTCTTTACTGAAACACTAAACAGCTTCAACAATATTCTACTGCTGTGGCTTTGATACAGGATTATTGCTGTTATTGTCTACGGATGCTGCAACCGCTGCTGCTGCCTCATACTGCTGCTACTGCTGCTGCTTCATACTGCTACTGCTGCTGCTGCTTCATACTGCTACCGTTACTGCTGCTACTGCTGCCGCTGCTGCTTCATACTGCTACTGCTGCCGTGCTGCTGCTGCTTCATGTACTTTGACATCTCTCTTCACTTCACATCTCTTTTACTGAAACGCTAAACAGCTACAATAATATTCTACTGCTCTGGCTTTGATACAGGATTATTGCTGTTATTATCTACGGATGCTGCAGCTGCTGCTGCCGCTACTGCTCCTGCTGCTTCATACTGCTACTGCGGCTGCTTCATACGGCTACTGCTGCTACTACTGCTGCTGCTGCTTCATTTACTTTGCCATCTCTCTTCACTTGCATCTCTTTTACTGAAACACTGAACAGCTACAACAACATTCTACTGCTGTGGCTTAGGTACAGAATTATTACTGTTATTTTCTAAGGACGCTGCTGCTGCTGCTGCTGCTGCTACTGTCGCGGCTTGATAACAGGACTATTGCCGTTATTATCTGAGGTTGCTGCTGCTACTGCTACTGCTGCATCCCACTCTCTCAGAAGCTTATCCTGCTTCTAATGGACGCAGCCCGGCTGAGCATGCCGTGCTGCGCTGGACTCGCACCTATGCTCCCAGGGTCGCTTCGGCGGTCATGCTTCATCTCTCTACTTAATCTTCTGATTCTATCAGATGCAGCTGGCCGAGTAGCTGCGCTGAGCCGTCAATCGGACTCCTAATCAAAGGCATCCATACCTGTATTCTTCACTCTTCTGATCGCAGGCTCCCCATCATGCTGCCCATTCCTGCAGCGGCGCTGAACTCCGGCTCATCTCCCAAGTACATGTCTGCCCTCCTCGCAGCATCTTCCTGCTCTCCTTCTATGACTTCTCTGCATAAGCGTTCACTACTGCTCACTCAACCTTCATGCGGTCCGAGACACGGCCTTCCCGACCTTCCTACTATCCTGATTTCTACTCTCCAACCCAAGGTTTCAAGCGTAAGGGCGCCTGCAACATCAATGGCCCTCTCCGACATGTCTCTGCCCCTACAGGTCTCCGCTTCTACACGGACGCTGCCCCTTCCGTGGGTTTTGGGGGATTCTTCCAGGACCATTGGGTTGCCGGGCCGTGGCCGCTACTTCCACCGGAGCATCTCCTCTGCCCTACACGTGATATTCCCAGTGGTTGTGGCCTGCGCGCTGTGGAATCACACGTGGCAGAGAAAGAGGATCTCTGTCACGTGTGATAATCTCGACGTAGTGGAAGCATTACACAAAGGTCGCTCTTTTTCACCCAACATAATGTCCCCTGACCATTTCAACCTCCGTCTCAAACATTCAAAAATCAAAGGAGCCTGCAATATAGTAATAGCTCGCTCGGACACATCTCTCTGCCCCTACAAATCCTTTATGCGTTACACTCGCCTCCACTGCAAAAAGGAGATCTTAACGGACCTCTATTTCTCACTCCAGACATTCTTCCCATGACAGCAACCTGGTTCAGAGCTCAGCTAAGATCCCCACTGCTCCTCTGTAATTTGTCTCCCCAGCTCTACACAGCTCACTCCTTCAGGATAGGCGCCGCCACGCGCGCGGCCTCGCTGGGGCTCCCCCACACCTCTCTGCAACAGCTGGGGCGCTGGTCCTCTTCGGCTTTCTCCACCTACATCAGGCCAGACGCGTCCGCTATCCTGGCTGCACAACGGCTACTGGCTTCCTCGTAAGCTCCCAGCAAAGAAATACAAAGCAAAGTAAGTGAACCAATAAGATTCTGGTGGCGGCACGCACTTCTTCAAAGATAACCCTGTTGCAGCGTCCGGTTGATCGTGATGCGAGCGCTCACGTCCCGGCGCTTAAAGATAACTCCACTGCAGCGTCTGGTACCGATCGTGATGCGAGCGCTCACGTCCCAGACAGCGTCCGGTTGATCGTGATGCGAGCGCTCACGTCCCGGCGCTTAAAGACAACTCTGCTACAGCGTCTGGTATCGATCGTGATGCGAGCGCTCACGTCCTAGGCAGCGTCCGGTTGATCGTGAAGCGAGCGCTCACGTCCCGGCGCTTAAAGATAACTCTGCTACAGCGTCTGGTATCGATCGTGATGCGAGCGCTCACGTCCCAGACAGCGTCCGGTTGATCGTGAAGCGAGCGCTCACGTCCCGGCGCTTAAAGACAACTCCGCTACAGCGTCTGGTATCGATCGTGATGCGAGCGCTCACGTCCCAGGCAGCGTCCGGTTGATCGTGAAGCGAGCGCTCACGTCCCGGCGCGCAAAGATAACTCTGCCCGTTTTTGGGGATCATGCGCGCGAGCAAGCGCCGCACTCATCAGCATCTCTCCCGGGCCTAGGGCGCCAAACATACTCAATCAACAAACTTCTAACTGCATTTTCCCTCTTGGGTCTCTCCAAAGTGAAATGAAGCTCTTCGCGAAAGTTCACTGTGGTAGACCCGGCCACTGCTGCCAGATCTACAAGCCTGCTCATCCTCTACTCATTACACCAGCAAAACGCCCACATCTAATCCACCAATAACCACCAGGACAGCAAGTTAAAAGCCGGAGACGCCCACTTTCCCGGCCTTCTGAAGTTTGCAAAGCCTCCGCCGCCCCACCTCCTCCTTCTCTCATCGAAGCGTGCTTGCCTACTGCCTCTGCCGTCACCAGTGCCTAGGCCCCGGGGGGGGATCATGCGCGCGAGCAAGCGCCGCACTCATCAGCATCTCTCCCGGGCCTAGGGCGCCAAACATACTCAATCAACAAACTTCTAACTGCATTTTCCCTCTTGGGTCTCTCCAAAGTGAACTGTAAATACTTTTCAACCAAGTGCAATTATAGCCCAGTGTTTATTTTATTGTATTCTTATCTTAATTTTATTGTCTATTATCTTAAATAATAAACTTATTTGATGTGTGCAATCTGAGTGCTCTTATTTCCTTTCTCTGCTGTAACTCGCGCAACGATAACACTGGAATTTCTCCACTGTGAGACTAATAAAGGTTCATCTTATCTTATCTTATCTTATCTTGTTTTCCATTGAAGACTGAGTGAAATCTATTTTCTTTGTTGAAACTAAACGAAAGAAAGTTCCTCCCTCCTCTATTCTCCGCACTTTTTCCGTCGAAAACTAAATATTCCCACGGTTTCCACTGTCTGTGAACGCACCCTGACTCCGTGTTACTACGGTCCGGCGCTTTAAGCTAGTGCTTTTCATGGGTTGTTGGACTTGCATGTGCCGTGATGAAAACAAAGGGGTAAGTCAGTGACACAGGGCCGTTTACATTTCACATAAAGTATAGACAAACGTTCTGCAGCGCATTACTGTCTGTAGTACTTATGAGCAGAGATGGGACAACTCAGTTCCCATTGAAACCCATGTAAATCTTGTCTGTTTTGGAGTCAAAACATCCTGTGTGGTGTATAGGAAATATATATATACTGCATATACCACGTATAGTGATTTCTAGCTCGTCGTGAAAAAAAGTATTGATTTGAAAATCTCACGCAAAAAGTAAAATTAACTGAACTTTGAACTAGTTCAGAATTAAAATTGTGAACTTTGAACGTGAACTGTTCACTTTGAGCATGTATGAACTGAACTTCAACTAGTTCAGAAAAGTTGTGAACTGGCACAACACTGCTCCAATCTCTCCCTAAAACTCTTAAATGAAGTCAGAAATCTATCAGTAATATTGGACTTTTTATCATCTAAGAACATTTCCAGTAGGGATGCACCGATCCGATACTGGTATCGAGATCGGCGCCGATACCAGAAAAAATACTGGATCGGATATCTGCGTAGAGAGCTGCGCCGTGCTGCCGATCCATTTTCTTTTTCTTTTTTTAATACATACCAGGTACCGCACAATGTCTTATAATACATTGTGCATAATGTACATATACGTATAAAATAAAGTAATTTATCAGATCTCACGTACACGTCACTTCCTCGAGCCGCTCTGCACCAACAACACAGCATGGAGCGCAGGAAAGAATCAGCGTTGTTCATGCTGCGTGTTTTACACTACCTTCGAGTCAGGCAACCTCATGCGGCGGTAAACTAGCAAAATACAACACGACTAAGCACCACAAGAAACAGCAAGGGGAGTTTTTGCAGTGAAAGGAGATTACGTGAAAACAACGAGACACAGATGACACTGATGCTTTGCAGCGTCACAAAAAGCAACAAGCCGAAAGTGTTGGAGTTCATCAGTTTGGGCTCGCAGCCTGGAACCCAGGTACATGCCGTCACATATCTGAAATCCAGTTAAAGCTATGGTGCTATTATTTACATTTACATTATTTACATTTTCATGCAGCGTGTTTTGTTTGTTGTACATGTTTTTTAATTCAAACACATTGAATATAAGTGCATTTATATTCAATAAATGTATAAGGTATAATACATTTTTGGAAAGTTTAATGTGAACATTGAGCAGTTCTTTATAGTTGCAGTATTGCACATTTATGTTGAATCCATTTTTATCTGGAAAGTTTAGGGCTTTAGTTCATCCACTGCTTTTGCAGTTACTTCAACAAAGAGTTAAATTATTTAATACATTTTAGAGGGATCATTTCCGGTATCTGTAAATATCGGTATCGGCAGATATCCATAGCTCTGGTATCGGTAGTAAAAAAGCTGGATCGGTGCATCTCTAATTTCCAGAAATAATGTCTAGAGCAGACTTGGAGATTCTTATTAATTTTTCTCCAGTAGGTTAGTCTACTGTAACGGCTGAGGTCCAGAGTGAGTGGTCCTACCTCCGTGTACGCTCTCCAGTGGGTAGAAGAGACACACCAGCAGGTTCATGAGCACAGCCAGGTTAAAGGACACCGTGCTCCACACAGACATGTTCCTCGAGCACCAGTACAACACCTGCTGGGCTGAAACACACACACACACACACACACACACACACAAACACACACAGACACACACACACAGACAGAAAGACAGATACACACACACACACACACACACACACAAACACAAACACACACATGTTACACACGTTACCAGTGTGGTCTTCACAACAATAGCAGTAATATCAGCAGAACCTGTGCGTCAAAACGACTCAACAATAGACCCTACAGTTTTCTGGTTCTATCCAAGAGTTCTTTAGTACGGTACCAGATAATAAAGCATAATGGAAATGCAACCAGGGAGAAGTAGAGTAGAGTAGAGTAGAGTAGAGTAGAGCAGGCTTCGTTAGAGGAAGACAGCATGTTGTGGTCTGGGCTCTTTTTGTTGGGACAAACACAATGGAGGACTTCAATGCATTCACTCTAATTGCTTAAATTGTGGTATTTCCTACTTAAATCAGAGGGAAACCAGATTAAACTGGATTTCCCTCTGAAGTGGATCCTGAGCACATTTTTCAATAGTTTGTGTCATGAGTACATTTACAAAGCTTTCTTGTTCAAATTGAATTAGATTGAACAAAGACTCATGTGAACATGTGCTCCCATTGAGGTGTGAAAAACCAGTGCGTTTGGCGTAAACTGGATTGAACCACTGTAACCACGGAAACAGCATACTACTGAGACAAGACCAGCAGATGCATTTATGAGAGCAGGGAAAAGCCACACTGATCATAGAAATGCAAGTATTTGGACGCGTATACTGTAGGTGTCCAAACGCTCTCCGGTCTCGCTCTCCGGTCTCGCTCTCCGGTCTCGCTCTCCGGTCTCGCTCTCCGGTCTCGCTCTCTCCGGTCTCGCTCTCCGGTCTCGCTCTCCGGTCTCGCTCTCCGGTCTCGCTCTCCGGTCTCGCTCTCCGGTCTCGCTCTCCGGTCTCGCTCTCCGGTCTCGCTCTCCGGTCTCGCTCTCTCCGGTCTCGCTCTCCGGTCTCGCTCTCCGGTCTCGCTCTCCGGTCTCGCTCTCCGGTCTCGCTCTCCGGTCTCGCTCTCCGGTCTCGCTCTCCGGTCTCGCTCTCCGGTCTCGCTCTCCGGTCTCGCTCTCCGGTCTCGCTCTCCGGTCTCGCTCTCCGGTCTCGCTCTCCGGTCTCGCTCTCCGGTCTCGCTCTCCGGTCTCGCTCTCCGGTCTCGCTCTCCGGTCTCGCTCTCCGGTCTCGCTCTCTGGTCTCGCTCTCTGGTCTCGCTCTCTGGTCTCGCTCTCTGGTCTCGCTCTCTGGTCTCGCTCTCTGGTCTCGCTCTCTGGTCTCGCTCTCTGGTCTCGCTCTCTGGTCTCGCTCTCTGGTCTCGCTCTCTGGTCTCGCTCTCTGGTCTCGCTCTCTGGTCTCGCTCTCTGGTCTCGCTCTCTGGTCTCGCTCTCTGGTCTCGCTCTCTGGTCTCACTCTCTGGTCTCGCTCTTTTCTCGCTCTATGCCTTCTCTCTCTGGTCTCTCTGTGGTTACTCTGAAATCACACAGAGACGGACCTCAAAGTGGTCGGACCGGTTTGGCAGCAACGCCGAGTAGAGTCAGATTTATTAACGTACTCCGTATTCCTCCGCTTTGTAAACATACTCAGTCTTTCTTTCCACAAATGCATGAGTATCAGAAGCAGTGCACTCTGGGACGGTCACCTCGGAGCTTCTTCTGCCAGTTCATCTCGTTGTACATGTCTTCGGCTCGTAGGAAGAAGTCGTTGATCTTGCTGCCCTGCTCGTCACGCTCCGTGGTGTAGTAAACCCGCAGCTTGGACTCCGACGTCAGGAACTCACAAATGTTTGGGACCGGGAACACAATCTCCTCCATTGTGCGGTCCTGACGCACTATCTGAACACACAAATTGAAGTTCAGAATACAGAAACACACATACAGTGTATACATACACACACACGTATACGGCCCACAAATACATACATACGTACACACACAAATACATACGTACAAATACACACACATACACAGACAAAGACAGAAACACAAAAAAAAAAATCACATTCATCACATTCATATCCTATTTCTCTAATGCATGAATACTGACCCTGTTGCTGTTGCAGCCGGTTTGAACCCTGTGACCTTCTTGTTTGATTAAAGCCAGGGTACTTAACTTTGAAACCACACAAATTAACTATATAATAAAATCCATAAAGCTAGTGTATGTATAGATTTAGCCTCTGTCACAGCCCCAGACAGCCCCAGCTTTTTCCCTCACACAGCCAATCAGCTCTCAGCCCAAAGCTTCAAATTGTGACTCTCCAGGTTCTTTCTTACAACTATCTCTCTGGTTTTCCTCTCTGGTCTTTCTTGCTCTTGTTCGTCTCTCTGGTCTGTCTCTCTGGTCCGTCTCTCTGGTCCGTCTCTCTGGTCCGTCTCTCTGGTCCGTCTCTCTGGTCCGTCTCTCTGGTCCGTCTCTCTGGTCCGTCTCTCTGGTCCGTCTCTCTGGTCCGTCTCTCTGGTCCGTCTCTCTGGTCCGTCTCTCTGGTCCGTCTCTCTGGTCCGTCTCTCTGGTCCGTCTCTCTGGTCCGTCTCTCTGGTCCGTCTCTCTGGTCCGTCTCTCTGGTCCGTCTCTCTGGTCCGTCTCTCTGGTCCGTCTCTCTGGTCCGTCTCTCTGGTCCGTCTCTCTGGTCCGTCTCTCTGGTCCGTCTCTCTGGTCCGTCTCTCTGGTCCGTCTCTCTGGTCCGTCTCTCTGGTCCGTCTCTCTGGTCCGTCTCTCTGGTCCGTCTCTCTGGTCCGTCTCTCTGGTCCGTCTCTCTGGTCCGTCTCTCTGGTCTCTGGTCCGTCTCTCTGGTCCGTCTCTCTGGTCCGTCTCTCTGGTCCGTCTCTCTGGTCCGTCTCTCTGGTCCGTCTCTCTGGTCTTTCTCTCTGGTCTTTCTCTCTGGTCTTTCTCTCTGGCCTCTTTGGTCTCTCTGTCTCTCTCGGTCTAGCATGCACCTCCTGTATGGCGACCTCGCTCCCATCTCTGTGTGGAGTGAGAGACAAGTTGTAAAGCTCTCTGTGGCCCTGGTCTGTGAAAGGCACGATATAAATAAAGATTACTTACTTACCTACTCTCTCTCTGCTCTCTCTCTAACTGCTAATTTACACAGGAGGCGTTACAGCACGTACACGTTATACGCGCAGCAGACGCGCGTAACTTTTTTCCATGTTAACCAATGGTGATATTTACACTACTAGTGTTATACGCGCGTATGCCGGACGTATGACGAGAGGCTGCGCCTAATTTAGGATGGATTTCAAATTTGTGCGTGCAGCAACGCGTCTCCCATTGAAAACACATGTGAAACATAATTTTTCTCGCAGCCCTCGTCTCTAGATCACATCTACACACACACACAGCACTTGTTGTATCTAAACATTAGCAGGAGGACTAGCAGGAGGACTAGCAGGTTTTACAGCAATTCTGGACAGTCTTTCATAAAGTCTGGCATCTGGTCAAACCAGCGTACAGAGACCATGAAGACAAACACGTGCATGTGATTTGTGTTGCTCTACATCAGTCCTCTGTACTGTCCTCTGCACTGCTCCATAGACTACACAGGGACAGCATCAGAAGGCCAGTGTAGATACACCCAAATAATGTTACGCGCACATGCGCGCAGTCAACGCGTACGTGCTGTTAACGCCTAATGTGTAAATTCCCTGTTACTGGCCTCTCTCTCTGGTCAAATAATCAGTCACAGGGTTCTATCTCACATCAAAGCAAACATGTTTTCTAATAAGACGACGACTGCGCGATATGGTCTGATTTCGTTTTCATATTACTTTTACAGGATTCTTTCAGAGAGGACAAACAAGCTGCATTATGTATTCATAGGAACACAAAGTCAGGTGCCCCAGCTTTAAGTTCAGACAGTGACAAGGACACAGTAGCATTCACTCTGTCCTCCTTGTACCATTTCAGGACAGGACTGACGCGGTGAGAGGAAGGACACCCTGAAAAGCCTTTTGTGTGCATGTAATTCACTGGGAGTGGATTGTTTCTTTTCACTTGGAGAAAGAAGAAGTGCTCTGACCTCTATCTGCGCCGTGTGATTGGCGTAGAACTCCAAGGCCTCGTCGCCGTCGCTGCTGGCTGCTCCGGGCCTCAGCATCACGGACAGCTCCTTATTGTGACGCGCCAACTGGAACGAGGACAGAGGCGTTTGAGGAGTTTGTTCTGATGATGTAACAGGAGTCGTTCAACGATCAACGATTACCAGTCTGATTCATGTGTTTATATATATCAACAAGGATGGTATTTGGCAGGAGCGCAGGGTTTGTCAAAGCCCTGGCTATAATCCGGATTTTTTTATGAATACAAAAAGTTGACAAAAAAAAATATAAATAAAGATTAAATTAATTATATTGATTCGACAAAAATAGATGTATTGTAATAAAAAAGGTATAGACATTGCATTGCTGATCAATATACAGTTAAATCTCCAGCGAGCGTTAGCAACACTAATGCTAATGTGAAAGCTAATGCTATCAAATAAGGAAGGAAGGAAATAAGGAAGTTGGCACCAGCTAGCATATCATCAAATCGGCCTCTTCCGTATTAAGGCTAACATGATGGTGATGTCACACTCCTAACTATGGGTTAGCGTTAGATCACATGACCTGTACCTGATGAGCCAGGATGTAGATGTTGTGTCCCACATTTCTTGGGGACGCGGCGTCGTGCTCTTCTTCATCACCGCTGTCTTCGTCTGGAGCCGCATCCTCAAACTCCAGCTCCCCCTGCAGGTAGGCCTTCTTTATCACCTCCACCTGGAAACGCAGAAAACAGGGTTAGTTATAAAGAAACACACGCAGATACACACACACTCACACAGAAATACACACACAGAGACGCAGAGAGAGAGAAAAATACAAAAAAAAAGAGAGACACAGACACACAAAGAAACACAGGCACACACAGCCAGAAGCACAGACAGACTGACAGACAGACTGACAGACAGACACAGACACAGAAGCAGTGACATCACCAGCTCCTTCGGCCTCATGTTATACAGGATCCTCTCTGCGTTCTCACTGTCGTGGCGACTCTCCATGATGGCGAGCAACAGTTTGGATGCGTTGTTCTAGAAAGGTGTAAAAAAAACAAAATGTTGTGAACAAATCAGAATCAGGCCAAAGAAAGCAGCCATCATCTAATTTGAAAACAACTTTTGCAAGAAAAAGGCCTTTGAATTTTTCCCCCACTTTTATACACCATTATGACAAAAAACTAGACTGCAGTTGATAGAGAAACCAGTGAGAGAGAGTGACCAGAGAGAGTGACCAGAGAGCAGAGAGAGAGAAACCAGAAAGAGAGACCAGATAGAGAGAGAGACCAGAGAGAGAGACCAGAAATAGATAAAAAAGAAACACCACAGTTGATATATGCTGTCAAATAAGAACTTTTTGTTTCATGTTGATTTGATAGGGAGCAAACCTACATTTTGACAGTTACCATAGTAACCAGAACAAATGTTTCAGCTGCCCTCCACCACAATGTGAAACTATAGGAATGTGCTGATGTCACATAAGCACAACCACTGCATTTATAAAACCAGTCTCTGTCACGTAGATCCGTTCTCTCACCTTCAGCTCCAGCACCAGATCCATGCGTTTCTTGCCCAGAGGGTTGATGTCGTTGAGGATCAGAGCGATGATGATGTCGATGCCGTTGGACTCGTGCGTAGCGATGCAGTTCTGAGTCAAAACATACAAACTGTTAAAAAACGATACAACTTCACACTATTACCCAAACTACACATGTATTCAACAACAACCCTAGTATTTATCAAAAGAGGGTTAGAGAATCTACACACAAAAATTAAATCTCAAATTGTGATTCCTTGAGTTGTTCCGTGCCGATGCAGAAGAATCTAAGGACATTATTAGTTTATTTATTTGGTCATCGGCCCCTTACGGATTAAGGGCTCATATGTGTTTCAATCATTGCATTTCCTGTGTTTAACGGTTTGATTCTTTGATCTGTGTTGGCGAATCGACAGCTTTGTAAAGTCCTCAGAGATAGCTACTGTTTTGATAGAGGGCTATTCAAAAAACATTGATTTAAATTGAGGTTTGAGACTTGTATTAAGAATATAAAAAAATAAAAGACAAAAGAAATCACAAACTACAGTTATGATTTAGGGCTATACTGTACAAGAATAAATTTAATTGAATATTCCAGCAAGAATATACCGGTTTCTTAAAATCGTGGTGGTGGCGTTTTTGGGATACTGAAACTTTCACCAACCCCAAACCTGGTACATGTAAATATCCCAGACTTCCCCTGGTGTCTCAGATGCTTGTAGCCGTAGTTCATGACTGCGATGGTAAACGGGACAAACAGACCTGGTTCTCGTGACATGGGCCCTGGCAGTACTCAGTGAGGCTCTCCAGCGTCTGGTTGATCAGAGCCACGTTCTTCTCGTTGATGTAGAGTCCCAGCAGCCCCAGGCCTCCGGTCGTGCTGCCGCAGATACAGTCCAGGAACTGCAGCGTCTCACACACCAGGTTGTAGTTGTTCTTGTTGTTCTGACATCGGAGGAAGTTCTGAGGAAAAGAAATACTCAAAATGAAGATTATTTTATTTGTCCAACAGAAAGGAAAGGCCAGAGCTGTATCACAAGTTAAAAAACAGTAGGAACACGGCACAACAATACAGTAGCTTAAAAGAAGAAAATGATAAAATATTGTTTACTCTAGTGCAGATATTGTGCATATTCTGAAATGTGTGGTGAGGTCAGCAGTGAAGTTTGTATAGCACTAAATCACAACAGTAGTTATCAAAACCGTTAAATTCGCCAACACATATCAGAGAATCAACAGTTCAACACAATAAATGCAATGATAAAAGTTTATACAGTTTGAAATCAAATGAAAGTGCTCCTGTTTCCTGCCACAGAAATAATTACAAATAATGCCACATTTTGTCAACTTGAATTGCAGATGGAGAGGAGCAAGCAATAACAGAGATAACAGCGGCCAGAGACCAGAGAGAGACCAGAGAGAGAGAGACCAGAGAGAAAGACCAGAGAGAGAGAGACCACCATACAAGCAATTTAAACATTTAAAAACAAGCTTCAGAATCTTAAAATCAATCCGGATTGTGACAGGGAGCCAGTGAAGTGACGCCAGCACCGGGGTGATGTGCTCTCTCTTACAAGTCCCTGCGAGCAAGCTGTCCCACACACCTCTGTTCTCGTTGCACATTTTTTTTGCAGTTTCTTAAAGTGGGCTTACATGTTGGATCAATACTCCATGACAATAACAATAGCCGGCTGCACAAACTTAAACATCAGATCTTTTTAAAAACTACTCCTGTGTCACCTGCAGGTCTCTGTTGTGGTTCTCGCAAAGCAGCTGCAGGAAGCGCAGGATTGGCTGCATGATGACTATGACGAAGCTCATCTCGCCGTCGTCCTGGCTCTTGTCTCCGGAGCTGGGGTGACCGTCCGCCGAGCTGAAGTGCTCCTCCGGGTCTGCGTCTCGCCTATACGAGTTGAAGGCTTTCTTTGTGGCGGATGAGGCCTCCAGCAGCTGCTCCTTCACATCCTCCGTCATGACCACCGCGGAGTCTCGAGCTGCGGAGGAAACTGTTAAGATGAGTTAACGGAAGTGGAAACCGTAGACTGGACTCTGTGTGTGAGAATGGGTGATTGGTTCCTTGATAAGCCTTGATGTATTCAGTCAAAAGATTTATATGCAGCGGGGCCAAAACTTATTCAGTCAATCAGCAAACAGCCCCAAAACATCACTGCGGACAAAATACCAGAAACTGTGTGCGATAACCCTCTGAATAAATGATATATAACAACGTATTGATATGGACTTTTGTTATTGACTAAATACTTATTTTCCACAATAATTTGCTAAATATTTCTAAAAAGATAATTTTGTCTCTCATAGTGGCGAGGTTTACCTATGATACAAACAACGGAGATCTCTCATCTTTATACATGGGAGGACTTCAAATCACTGCTCAAAACCCACTTGTTCAAAACTGACTTTTGTTTTATTTTTTTTAAGAAAAAAAGAAGTTTCTTATTAACATGTCCAGTGTCCAAAAAGCGCTATTTGAGTAAAATGTATTATTAATTCTGAATGATGTCAGCACTGTTCGTCTTTGTCAAAGGTCAGTCAGTGATGGGTCATGACTTTCAGATGTTTGTGATGATGAACGAAAACATAAACCGTTTTGAGGAAGATGGTGGAAGACTCGTGGTTTATGTCAAAACTGTTCAAACAGAAGTCCCTGACAAGACGTCCCATCAGAGAAGTACACAGAGTTTAATGGATGATATAGAACAGAACGTAACTAGTGAAAGTCCATCAGTCTGGTTTTGGCCTAGTTCCAGTAAGACGAGACATTGGAGAGGAAAGGACCTGTAATCTTTTGTGTTTTCGACTAATTAATAACTAAACTGTTTGAAACTAATTAATAACTAAACCAAACAATATGTCCTCAGTGCGTCGTCGAAGGCAGAAGACCACAACAGATCAATCCTCGTACATAGAACTTGTAGAGAACTCTCTCTGGTCTCTTTCGCTGGTCTCTCTCTTTGTGGTCACTCCCTCTCTGGTCTCTCTCAGTGGTCTCTTTCTGGTCTCTCGCTCTGGTGTCTCTCTCTATGGTCTCTCACTCTGGTCTGTCTGTCTCTGGAATTGGGAGCACTGCTTATTTTCAAAGTCGGACTTCTTTTTTTACCCTTTTATTTTGACATGGACCAGTCGTCCACGTGGTGAAAGCTGACACGGGTCTAAACAATACGCCAACTTTTCCCACGGTTCGACACAGCATTTCAATACAGGTTCAAAAGCACATGAAAGCTTCGTAGCATACAAATCTTTGTCTCCCAACATTAGCATAGCAGACGCATACACATATTACCCATGAGCTCATACTGCACAGAATAGAAGGACATAACATAGCTGACCTTTCCTCCTCGTGGGAGCCTCCTTGTCTCCTCCTTCGTCATCTCGTTTCCTGTTGCCGAGGTCGCTGGTGTTGACAGACACCGTGGCTTTAATCTCCAGCTGGGCCACTTTCATCCGGTCGTAGAAAACACGGAAGAACTTCTCAGACTTTTTATCTTCGGTCAAACGGCAAAAGAACGAGCGCTGTATGGACAGAGAGAGTGTTGCGAAACGTGACTACGATGCATTCATATGTCTATTTCCAAATAAAGGTTAAATCTGACCTTTATTGTTATTATTTATATGGCACATTTCATAAAGTCAGTTTTCAAAGTGCTGCACAATAAAAAACAAAAAACAAATCCATGGTATGACAGTAAAATCATTCAAATCAAATAAATAAGATAAGATATATATATCGGATCCCTCAGTCCTGGATCTACAGCCGTCCTTCTGTGGGAGTGGATCACTCTCTCAATATAGGATCCATCCGGCAGGAGAGAAAGCTGCTTCTCCTACAGTACATTCAGTTCAACACAAGGAACAAGGATCCTGGTATGAATCGGAGCCATGACAATCTATTGAAATAAGTAGAATATATATTTACAGTATAAGTAGAATATATATTTCTACGACACAGAATATGAATTTTTGTTCTCACTTATTTTCTTTTTCATAAATAACACATTATGTTGCTATGTTGCAAAAGAAAGAGCAAGTTCAAATGTGAACAAATAAGGCTCTCTCTCTCTCTCTCTGGTCTCTTTTTGATGACTGAGTGAGGTCATCTCTTTTTCACCTTTCTGTCTGGTAAAGCTGATTTAAATATGTCACAGAGGCCCAAAATTCATGTGAAAATTAGTGTTTGAAGCAAACTGATGGATTTCATCACATAATTTTTGTGGTTTGAATGTCAGCTTTAATGCCATTTGTTTTACAGCCAGAAATTAGCGCGATTACTCAAGTCGATCCGCACCATACAGCTCACAATATTGCATGTGTTGACGACAGCTTTGAGCAGCATCTGTGCGTGAATACATTTCAGCAGGCGGTTCACATTGTCCACTTCCTCAGTATGGATTGACTGTGGCTCATAATAATATCTAACAGAAATACAAATTAATCCAAAAGATCACATGTGCCAATGGAAATCACTGCAGCTTGAGTCCGGATGAGAACCAGGAAGTACAATCACATTAGGCCAGTTCTCAGGTCAGTACATCTGTGACATGTTAGTGCCAAATTAACCAACTCGGACTCTGAGGAGCACAGGGACTGGCCTTGACTACTACTACTCTGTTTTTGACTTTAATACATGCTGAAACTGGTCAAAAAAAATGTTATGTCATTTCCATCCCCTTTATTATTCCATTTCTGGGTTGGGTTGGGGGGGGCACAATCAGAGCTGACACCCAAATCACATAGCACCGGCCCCTCGCAGTTCCTCATGCATGTGGTGGGTGCACGGTAAGATGGCTGCTTTGGTGTTTCAGCGGGCAATGTGGGGCTAAGTGTCTTGCCCAGGGACACAACGAGGGGGATCGAACCCACGGCCATTAGGTTCAGAGACCAATGCTCTACCAACTGTCGCCCCTTTAATAAAAATGAAATAGAAGTAAACAGTGTGTTGCCATGGTAACTAGCACTTGCTTCTTCTTCACCGACTCCCATTGATGTCTGCTGTCGTCGTGTCCTTGGCAAGACACTTAACCTCTAGGAACACCAGGTGCCACAGTGGGGCGGCTGCGGCTGTGAAGTGCCAAACTGCTGTTGTGTCCTTAGGCAAGACACTTCACCCACATTGCCTAGAATGAATCTGGTGTGTGTGTGAATGGTTGGTGGTGGTCGGAGGGGCCGATGGCACATACTGGTTGCCTCGTTTCTGTCAGTGTGACCCAGGGCAGCTGTGGCTACAGTAGTAGTTTATCACCACCGTGTGTGGAGTGAATGAATAATGACATGTGGGGCGTCTTTGAGTGTCTAAAAAAGTGCTATATAAAACCGATGCATTATTTTTATTTCATAAACATAATGACATAATGGAATAAACTACTTAAAGAAACAGAAACAGTCTAAAAACTATGAAAACCAAAAACATACATAAGCGCAGCAATTGCACTTCTGAAACGAAAAGGCGTCAAATTGACTACTCTGGGAGTTCTAGAGTCATACAGTTGCCGCACTGTAAACCCAAATTCAGAGTAACATTTTCAGACCTCGTGCCGCTAAAACACACGTCCCCACTGCCGCCTATAGCCCTCTTCCCGATGCATTATATAAGCAGTTTGGCTGGGAGAAAAAGGTTCACACGGTACACTGCAAAAATTCAGGTCACGGCAAAACTGGAACACATACACCGCGTCCCGGGCTGTTGTTTTGATTATGTAACCACCGCAGCCTATGGAACACACACCAGAGCTGAGCGCGGGGGCGAGAGAGACGAGCGGTGGCTGAGGAGGGAGCGAAGTGAAAAGTGCCCCAGTTACACATATACAGAGACAAGGGAAGGAAAAAAAAAACTCATAGGGAAAGAGGTAGTGATGGTAGCACGGCCAGGAACCAGGAAAAAGAAAATGTTATCGGCCAGGATCTAGGCCAGGTTCTTATGTAAGCATCTGTCTTTGCAGGTTAGTAATCTGGGCTAACAGAGAAAATAAATAAGTGGAATCAATAAGTGGTAGAAGTCACGAGGTTGACGCAGAAAAGACCGGCTTTGTGGACGATCCGAGAGACGAGGGAAAAACAACTAGTCATATGGTCTGAAGCAGTGCTTCTCAATTATCTCCTGCCACCCCCCTGAGGAAGAATAACACATTTCACGTCCTTGAACCTTCTCCTTCCATCTTTAGATCAACTCAGAAAATCCTCTCTCAGCCAAAAATGTCAAAAAGTGACTTGGAGGGCTCTTTCTTATAAGTATGCACAAAATATACATGTAATAAGCTGAAGAGCCAGCAAATCCCCCCGCAAAATATCACAATATAAACACCAGAATCACAGAGAGCGCTAAATCACAGATTTTTAAACCCAAAATGGTGAATGTGACAAACGGTTACTGAGCTAGAGGAGTTTACTTTTCAAAACTTCATCCAAGAGCACTTCCCCAATAGGCTTCATTGAGCTAGCGCGTTAGCATTGCTTAGGATATGGATTGAACAATAAGTCTCTCGTTTGCTCTAAAACTGTACTCAGAGTGGGAGCACATGATGACATAAGGCAGGGACAATGAAAGGGGAGAGAAAGCTGCTTCTCCTACTTTCAGTTTCAGATGAGGAGCAAGTATCCTGGCAGGAATCGGAGCCATGACAATGGATAGAAATAGGTGTGTACAAGAAATATTTTTTAATAATTGGATGTCTGTAATTGTATGTTTACATTATCATTAATCTACCAGTGCTGTTGTGGTTTGAATGGTTCACTACATTTCACATACAAACATGCATTATTAATGCAAGGGAAGATTTAGGTACCCAATCTTTATAATAGTGAGTTTAAGATGGAAAAGAGATTGTGGAGGGACTCAAAACAACAACATGAATCGCTTTGACTGTGAAAATAACTGACTGAAGCTGTGAAAAATCTATCTTCTGCTTTATCCGTTGGGGCAGCAGTCTGAGCAGAGGCGTTCCAAGGCCAGCTGAGAGTCCATCCGGAACAGATGGCCGAGTCACTTCAATTGGCTTATTTTGATGTGGAGAAGCAGCTCTACTCCGAGCTCCTCCTGTGTGACTGAGCTCCTCACCCTATCTCTAAGCCACTGTGTGCAGCTGTCCGCAATCTCGTTCTTTCGACCATTACCCATATGAAGCGTCCACATCAGTGCACACCCTTCATACTTCCCTTACTCGAGAACTAGACCCTGAGATCGGAAGGACCACTGCAACTGGACAGGGTTAGGGTCCTTTCTCCAGACGAGCTCCATGGCCTTGGATTTGGAGGAGCTTCTCATTTGGAGGCAAACCGTGTAGTATGTCTCCATTTTTTTTCCATTGACATTTATTTATGTATTTGTCCATGTCGTCTTGATAAATACCATATAGTGTCTATATATTTGTGCAGCAAGAACAAACAGTAACAGGAAGAAAAGAAACGCATGCATCCTGTCCCTTGTTTTGCTTAAGCACCTCGTCCAAAATCCGGGACACCAGCTTTTTGATTTTTACTGAGATAACTGGTATTATACTGGTGTTTTCTGCACATGGTGACAGCAGAAAACACATTGATGTTTTCATAGAATCCAGTCTGATCAAAGTTAGTATTTTGGCTTTGTGAAGTAAACAGTTACTTGTATTGACCACAGGCGGACAGTAAAGTTAGCCACACACTTGTCAGGATTTTGAACAAGGACCTCCCTGTGTGTGGGGGTGTTTGTTTGTTTGTGTGTCTGTGTGTGTCCGTGCTTCTCAGAGTCACGTGCTGCTGTTTCCCAAATTATGTTTCACTGCAGCAGAGAGTGACAGCCGCTCTGCACGTAGGCACTAGAGCAGCTCAGAGTGTGCATACGCCCGTGTGTATGTTTGTATTTGTACGTGTGTATGTGTGCGTATATGCATGTGTGTGTGTATTCGTGCGTATGTGCTTGTGTGTATTTTTGCATGTGTGTGTATGTGGGAATTTGGATCTCTTTTCATTGTGAAGAATTTATCAGATTTGCGACTGTTTTACGCCATGATCCTGAAAGAAAAGTTTTCCAGTGACTTGTACAGTTTGTAATGAGTTATTTTCAAGGTAAACATGTTCTCAGTCTGAATGTGCAGCTTCAGTGATGTCTGTTCATGTACAGTAAGAAGTGTGAGAGTGAAAGAGGCCGACAACAGGGAGAGCATTCCCTCCCCCTGTCCTCAACCAGGCCTTACATAACAACACACACACACACACACATACGCATATGCTCACACACACACATGCGACCACACACACGCACACATACACACACAAGTAGGTCGGATGTCTGGCACATGCCCATTCCAAAGCACGCCCACAGATCGCCAAGCGTGCCGTCGCCATCGCCATTATGTAAGAGAGTGTTTATACTGTGCACCTGGAGTCACGGGACCAGGGGAGACTCATACCAGGAGAGAAGACCAAGAGAGAAGACCAAGAGAGAAGACCAAGAGAGAAGACCAGGAGAGAAGACCAGGAGAGAAGACCAGGAGAGAAGACCAGCAGAGAAGACCAGCAGAGAAGACCAGCAGAGAAGACTT